CCGTGTAGTGCCAGGAAAATGCACGGTGTGCTGCCAGTCAGCGGGAGACAGATCGTCTCTACACCACCTTTCATGTAATTGGTATATTTGAAAAAGAGAAATGCACTCTCCATTTCCAGCAGCTACCTCAGATTCCTGCGGGGGCACTCTGCAGAAAGTATATTTTTTCCTTGGTTCGCTGAGAAAAATAAAGCAATGAAGCACACCTGGATCATGGTGTATTAAAATGTACAGTTTTGCAGGTTGTGAGGCTTATGCAAGTTTTGACAATATAATACATAGGTACAAAGGGGTAATCTATGCATTGCTCTATATATCATAACTTTTTATTTCTCCACAGTAATTGCACAGGTTGCCAGGACATTTTCAGATACAACTGTTGATCCTAAAACTACAAGACTCCTTAAATTGATTTGATATTTATGTGACAAAATAAACATTGGATCTCATTCTGCTGAAGCCACACCTGCATAGGTAGTTGGCAGCATTTACCTTCTTTAAAATGGACAAAAGCAATAGTAACTTGGAGTCTTATTTGGGTTACTGAAAATGATATATGACGTCTAAAAACATGCAAATGCAAAAGGACACACTGGTGGTCCTTTTGCAGTGGTGTTTTGAACCCATGAGTACCGCAGCACTTGCTGAGCTACCTAAGGGCTTCATTGAGGGAGATACAAGATTCCCAAGTTTATCTAGCGGCACTCATGCAGAAAAGAGAAGAAAAGAAATGAGGAGCCAAGCCACTGAGGTGAGCGTCTGATTTTTATCTTTCACCTTTTGCCTTGCCAATCCAATTAAATAAGCCACTCATCCCCAGAGGCAAGATGCAGGTCGCTCCTTTGTGAGTCATTACTGTGGTATATGGGGAAGTTTGGAAGGCAGAGAAGAGAATTAGCCAAGTTATCACACACATATCAAATCACTCCCCCGCCAGCCTACCATACAGTGACAAGTTGGCCAAAGCTGTCATAATGACAGAGTCCAGCAAACATGGAGCATTAAAAAACCCACAAAAAACATAACAGTGACAACCAGGGACAAATCGACTTGAAATGAAAACACATTATGTATCAAATACTTGGACTCTAATTTCCTGATGTGACAAGATGCTGCATAATCTGCAGTTCAATTGGTTCATCGTGTACACAGAGTTATTTGCACAGAGTTACTGCATGATAATAAGGAAAATTTAATTAGAACATCTCTAATATTAGTAAAATTGTCATTTTGTAGCAATATCCACACCAGAATAGCACCTGTTCATTATACCTTTAGGCATTTGGTTTAATCAATACAAACAAAATTAAATGGAAACATTTAATTTTGCATTTTTGAGCCCTGATTTAGAAAATTAAATATAAAACAGCACAGATATTTCCGATTAGCTAACGCTCCTGCTCCCAACACAAAATACTGCATTTTTATACTCAAACAAAGGACATGTTTTAGCATATAAGCTGTGATTAATTTCAGCATTATACTATGGTAATAGTGTGTTAATATGCAAAAACAACTAAACTTACATTACCTTATTATTGCGATGTTACTAACACATCAGTGTGACTAGGTTAGAAATGTTTATTTCCAAATATCACACAGAAATGACCATTTAATTGCTAAAGGGTTACCATATACTACTAAGTAGTTTGTAAATTTTAGTCTAATAGCACCAAACTAAAAACCAAGGTTGGCTCTTACTTGGTTATTGGTTTGTTAATAATATAGTAATTAATTTTTATTACATAGTCATTGCCTCATTATTTTTATCTCACTATTACCAAGCATAAAGCACCATTATTGTGTCATTTATTTGTAGTTTCTAGGTAAAAAGTACATCCCTCGCATTTCCTCCACTCAGTTTTCATTGTTTCTTGTTGTATGTTTACACCATCACTTACAGGCTGTAATCCGACAGGGGACCAGATGTTATATTAAGAAGTAATATTACATAATTTACATGTTAAGAACAACTATGTATGTGTATGCACTATATACTATATGTAAAAGATCAATATATATTATGTAGAATGACAGGTCTACTGTAGTGCAATAGGTTTGTAATTGAGCTCACTTGACTCCCACCTGGTTGGATCTCCAGCCTAATGATCCATTATGTCAAAAGAGCCGCCTGAAAGACATCAGACAAGAAAGAAGTGGGCAGCCACAACATGTGTTATTACCCAGGCAACTGTGTTTAGAGTTTATAATTCAACATTCATTTCTTTCAAAGTGTGCCATCTGAGAGTTTGAATGAAAAGATCTGTATCAAAACCTGAACGAGAACTTCTTTAATCAGATTTTAGACTCTGTTGATGGACTTTTCTTCATTTTGTGTCTGCGTGCTGAGAATTCAGATTAAATCATTTCGGCCTTGAGTGGATTTTAAATTTAATGATCTACACTCGCTCTAAACTGCGCTGCTGTGACATGTAATAATTCCTCATCTATGTGGTTTGGAGACGGGAAAGCTCTCAGTGTGGGACTAAACTTCACGGAGATTAGAAATAAGACCCTCATATTACGTGGCTCATGAAAAATACTCTTTTCCCTGTAGATGCATAATTATTAGAATTAAGACTTGACTGCAGTGAAATTCAAACTTTCCCTGTCCAAACACAGACTAGGACTACATTTCGGATATCAAGATGAATTATTAAAGACGGGAGCTATAAAAAGCCATAGAAACCAGAAAATATAAAGCTTTTTAAAATACCTTTGACATATTTTTGTACGAGCAAGGTAGCATGATAATGTTAGCATAAAACAGAAAACACCATCCTGCAAACGTCTAAATCACAGAGCACACATTCGGATCCTCAGATCCATAATGTCTAATCTTAACTTAGAGCACCCAGCAGCAGATCAGATACCAGATGAGATCAGGGTTGGGGGGGAAACCCTCCTCGAAATCAATGGAAAAGTCCTTCACTTTAATAAAGCACGTACAAGCCCGAGACATTTCATTAGAAGCTGCAACTGATGTGAATCTGGTTGGCAGATGTTTTGAAGGAAATCGCATCTCCACTGTAATGTTAACCTGGCCTCGTTGGAGGTTTGAAAATAAACACCGCATCTGAACTGAAGCGCGGGATATGAGACTGGAGACCTCTAACAGATTCTATCACATGTGAGGAGAGTTATCAATTTCTTCATCACACTTACCTGTGTCAGAGTGCTGTTTGCAGTATGATTATGTCCTTGTTTCAGGATTGATTGGGTGTAAGAAGAAACGACGGATTCCCATCTTCCAATTGTGAAACATGGACTTCTTGCTTATTTGCATTCATGTATGTATCTCCTGTGCTTTCATCGTCTAGACACAAACCCACACATATTTGAAACCAGAAACATCTGCTCAAGATTATATTTTTATTTTTAAAAAAAAAGATGGCTTTCCCCTTGTTGTTAGTCAATTTTGGTTTCTTTTTCTTCATTTTATCCTGAACAGGATACTGGTTGCATCTCATAGCCTACTTGTGCATGTAGAGAGATAAACACTGAAGATAATTAGAAAGACAGAGCTGTCGAATACCCCTGATGCTTCCTTGGCCACCATTTTCAAGACCTTTATTGCTTATCTAATAATCTCTGAGAGAGGTGAAACTCATAATTAGGCCCTCAGTCTAAGTCATATACTGCATGGGAAGGAAAATACCATTCCCTGCCCTTGGGAAGGATAAGGGAAGATTATGGACAGCAATAAGTGGACTAAGAATAGAACGGCACATTATTATGTATGACAGGTAGGCGCTGTGTATGGAAAGTCAATCAATATAATTTGAAAATGGTGAAAGGGTTCCTCCCTTAGGCAGCATAAAAGGAGGAGAATAACTAAGCACATATTCTCAATACTGCGCTTAGCTACAAATTTGAAGTACTTGAAGTACTGGATATTTCTCTTTTATCACGCTTTACTGCATATCCCAAGTCCAAGTTCTTATAGGGATAATGATTGATACACACACACACACACACACACACACACACACACACACACACACACACACACACACACACCTACCTACCTACCTACCTACCTACCTATCTATCTTTTTTCCATATTATTTCCATATTTCTTTAAGATACGTGAAAATTTATGACATTGAACTTCTGTTCTTTCAACAGTGCTTTTTTTTTGACGTTTGGATAAGGTATAGTGCAATATTCTTCCATCAGTGTCCTCTGGCTTGCTTTCAAAGTACGTTGTGACTTATTGTTTGCTTTTTATCTCGTTTGCATTGTGTGTTTTTCTTTGTATGTGAGGTTGATTTTCAGACCTGGTGAAATGAAAATAACAACATTTATTCTTGTTCTTACATTTTTTTCCCTTCTGTGCAGTAGAAATTTCACATTGTGTTGTTCCTTCATATTATTTGGCTAAAAGTAATGTTCAGCCCAAATGTCATAAGGAGTTCTGTATAAAAGCTCTTGCAATAAATGCTTTATTATATTTAGCAAAATAAATCTGTGGTTATCAGGAGTATTAATATTAAATAAGTCTACTATAATAAAAATAATAATTAACACCAAAATTGGACATTTCAGATATACCCTTACTTTTAATATTTCAAATACATGGCCTAGTTATGTACCTAAGCCTTAACTGTTATCATTTTCTCCCTGTCTGTGGGGCTCGTGCGTAATGGATACCTTTGAGAGAAGACGTATATACTTCAGGTGTGTCCAATTTCCAAAAATAAAGATGAAGAATCATGTGTACAAGAATCATGTGTCTCCATCACCCTTGAATAATTTATTATCGCGTGAAAAACAAACAAACAAGATATCCGTAGACATCGGTTCGTTTGTTTTCTTCCTTTGTTTTAAATGAATCGTAGAGACCTCATTCATCGCTTGACATAAAGTTAGACATTTGCAAACTAAAGTCAGCCAGCTAATGTGACTACTGTACAACTATTGCACTTCTCTCCCACGGGGTCAGATTGGTGCACGCGTTCTCCCTCAGAAGGTGGGAGGAGCGTGCAGCACTGGGACGCTGCACGATGCAGCAGTCCCGTCAAAACCTTCAGGTCCACCTTCAGCAGCCAGACCACGAGTACACCTGTGGTATCACTTTCATTAGCACGTTGCTTGGATTAAAGGAAAGAAAGCAGAAAAAAGCAAACCTGTGAAATATGGTCGAAGTCACTTGGGAGCAGAACGACTGGGCGACATAGGTAAGACAGTTCATTTAAGTCAGAGGTTTTTGTTTTTTATTTTTATTTTAAAAAAAGATGAAGATTGTGTTTAAATGAATGTCTTTTCTCATTTTCTGCGTGCTCGTGCGTAATGGATACCTTTGGGAGAAGACGCATACGGTTCAGGTGCGTCAGTTTCCACAAATAAACAGGAAAACAGTAAATCACCCCCAAATCAATATATGCATATGCATTTATATTTATATTTAAAGTCAAGCTCAGGGTATTTAAAAAAAATTTCGTACAGATATATTTTTAAAACTAAAAATCTAACAGCGCTATGTAGATCTTTTTGTGTAGGATCCTCTTAATTGTGAACGAATCTTAACGTGGTTTTCTTTTTTCAAAAATCAACTTTTAACTAGTGTCCTTTTTCTAGATGGAAGATGTCGCTTCTCCACGAAGCGAGAGCTCTTTATATCAGCTGCTTTGTATTTTGCAGGACAAAAGGGGTCTTCCTCGAAATTACGATGCATCTCGCAGCGGTGGTCTTAATTCTCTCCGTGACAAGCATCGTCAAAGGTAATCTTAGATTTCGATCAGCCGAGACAGCTGACAGCGACACAAAGAGATTTGAGTCAGTTCATGAAAAAAGAAAAAAGAAACAACCCCAACTCGTTTTCTCCCTGCATGGAAATAGAAGTACCAGGGATTAATATTTTATTGTTGTGAATCTTTCGTGTGTGTTTTTTATTTTGTGATGCCAACATGCTGATGTCTTCCTTTCTCAAAGGTTGGGAATGCAGCGCAGGGTGCAGCACAGAAAATGGGTTTTGTGAGAAGCCAGGGAAGTGCAGGTACTGAACAGACCTCAGGTTTCTGTGTAGATTCTATTTTACCTCAGGAGAAGCAAATGGCTTTTGGAAAAATACAATAACAATCCAGCCAAGTGAATCTCTGTTTTTGGCGCTTGTATTATGTGTAAGTCAGCTGCCAAGTCTGTTCTTTGTTTAAACAGTAAAAAGCATTGTTATCCTGACAGATAATTTAAAAGGTTTCCTCATGTTTTTGTTTCTGGCAAAACCTTCTGAATCTACTCTTTAGCCAAAATGACTGTACCCTGTTGCTGTGGGTATTTAGAAAGATTAACCAATTACAGCAATTGTAAATCGCAGCATTTGATGTCACTTTAATAGTAAAAACATGCAGATAATATCGGACCAAGAGCAGGACCACGAAGCTCATTGGGTGGTGTATTAATAGTTTAGATTTAATGCCTTTATTTAACCTCATTCAGGTGCAAACCAGGGTGGCAAGGAGACAACTGTGACCACTGTGTGCCCTTCCCTGGCTGTCTGCACGGCACATGTGAGAAGGCATGGCAGTGTATCTGTGAGGAGGGCTGGGTGGGTAGCCTGTGTGACCAAGGTAAGTGTCATTAGGCTCCCCAGGCACTCCTATCTCAATCTGCTCCCAATACTGATATACCAGAGGTCAGGGTGAGTCACAGAGCTCTAGAGATACATGGGTCCAGAGAGATCAGGCTGGTCTCTATAATATAGTTAACTGTATTTTTTCCCAAGAGCATAGTCAGAGCATAAATAATCTGACTATGGAAATCTGCCAACAAGGGAAGCTGAAACCCCTAATAAAACTGCCAACATCCTCATGATAAACTACCTTCCCCTCCACTTGTGCCATTGAATAACGCATGCATTATTAATTTATGAAAATACCCCGATGAAAATGTTATTGTTAAAGTCACATTAACATTTAATTAGATGCCCTATTTTAGTTTAAGGATTTTGATTATAATCATAGTATCTATAGTGGCCATTATCACACAAAAGGACTTGGAGACCCTGGAGCAAAGGAAGAAACAAAGGAAGAAACAAAGGAAGAAGAAGAGAGATTTTTTCTGGCTTCCAGCTCAGTGTGACCTCTTTATCAGCACGCATAGTGCATCTTTTATTCCGTTGGAGCATATGAGCCACTTTCCTGTGTAACACAGTTGGTTATGTTCTCAGTTTTGTTCTTGGTGACAAGATGCTGTGGTGGGGAGTGTAGTGTGAGAATGGAAACAAAGACGAGAGGAATAATCAGCCATAGAGACACAGGGAGAGAGAGAGAGAACCCACAAGATCTAAAAACAGCATACTTATTAGTAATTTTTTTCCTTTCTCTTTTTACCACAGATATTCGCTTGTGTTCATCCAGGCCTTGTGCTATTAATGCCACTTGCATAGAGACCGGAGAGGGACGATACCTGTGTGTCTGCCCCCCTGGCTTCTCTGGAGAAAACTGCCACCGGAGGAGAGGACTTTGTCTTACAAATGGGTACAAAAAAACTTTTGAGTTCATAAGCAGGGGAATATTTATTTTCAGTCTTATCCCCTATGGTCCCTCAAATATTTTATGGTTATTTTTTTCCTAATTGCTCTATTGCTATTTATTATGTGTGCAGGTAGGTATATCAGCCCTCAGACTATACAATGTACAATACTATACAATAGAGCAACAAATTGTAAACATAAAATAACAGTCACACCTTTTACCTCCTCAGCTGTAAAAGGGTGATGGGATATTATTATCACAACACTGGCTGGGTAGGTGAACATGTCAACTCTAGAACGAGGTGACGTAGGATTTTCAAATTCGTACCACAAGTGCATCTAGCAGGAGCCTGAGGGGAAGCACCGGCGGCCGCCAGTATTTTTATATCTGTCACAAGTGTCATGGGAACGGGTGTGCGGTGAACAGAGTGTGGCTCTAGTTGCAGGACTCAGCAGATTGTCGTAAATTAAAAATCACAGCTTCATTTTAACGCTGACAAAAGGGCAAAAGAAACAAAAAACACAAACTGAGCTAAGCAGGAATAAACTGACTTGAGGCTACACAGGCAGACAACGAGTCACACACCATGAGGGAGGCAGTGACAACGAACAGAGGGAGATGCAGACAATATATGCAGAATAAGGAATTAAGGCAGAGTGGAAACACCTGGGGGAACACAGCTGAATAGAATCTAACTGACGAAACGGGGGATGCAAAACATGACGCGGGTGAGATGAAGGACTGTCAAGATAAAACAGGAAGTGATAAACAGAGAGACCAGGACTAACTTGACAGAACAAACAGGGAAACCAGACAACAATGGAGACAAAACACTGAGGGACCAGAGAGACACGGGGACACGACTGGGAAAACAGAAAGGAAAAATAGAGAAACCTAAAAATCCCCAAACTTAAAAGCTCTGGTCCAAAACCCAGGAACCGTGACAAAAAGTGGCTTATTTGCAAACACTGGCTGTATATAATAGATCATCATAACCTTTTTGAAGCCTTGCCTTTAGCTTTCAGCTATTGCCAGCTTGTTTTTTTAAACCAGATGTGATGAGCAAGAGGTGGAACAAACTGCACACTCATACATTAAATGACTTGCCAATAAAAATGAAAATATTGATTAACACTATGAATCCATAAGAAAAGTATTTACTCAGGGCCACGAATAAAGTCAGTCCTTGACTTATATGCAATCAGAGCACTTCTTCCAATCAGAGCAACTGGCCCTCTTGAAGAGTAGAGATAATGCATATTGTGCTGGCTTAAGTTTAAGATCTAGATGCTATGCCCATATTTTGTATCAAATGTCCTTGTCCACTAACTTTAAACTGTGTTGGTCGCTAACACGGTCAGCCATGAAGTAAATTGCAGCCAAATACCCCAGTGTCACATTCATACCATGCTTTGTACTCATTTGATCTTTGTTTGTTTTTTTGCATGATGGAATCACACTTTACTTTCAACCAGCAATTGTAAAACACTGCAATGTGTAAGATGATGAGGCTCACTTAGCCAAAACAAACACAAAATATGGCTTTGGGCAAACAATTCCCCTTCATGTCAAATCCAAGACAGGTCGGATGTATAAAGAAAGAATTTCAGTAAATTTGTAGCCCTGCAGCTGCATGTTTATTGTGCTCCTCCCTATAGTAGCTGACTGCGTGTACCAGGGCAGCATCATAAGCTGCATCCCAGTTCAGAGGCTTCATCCTTTAAAGTCAATCTTTCAAGATCAAATACACCATAATTGCTTGTCACATTTCAGATACTCCATCACTCAGAATGTGACCAGTAATCCGCTCGTCCTTTGGCAGCTGGAGAACACAACTGATGCGCACTTAACATCCGTCTGTATCAAAGATGAATTTCAAGGCCTTTGGCAGATCGTTCAGAAATATCATATTACCATAGCACAAGGGTCATCACTCGTTGATATGATTGTTCCAAAAGCCTAAATATTTGGACAGTTACATTTTGATGATTTGTTGTGCGCTCTTCAGCACCATAAATTTAAAATAAAACAACTGATCTGATTCATTAATCTCTTAAGTCTGAGCTTTCATTTCAGTGGATTTATTTCACTGTCTGTGAGTGTGTGTTGTCTCAGTGTTAGTCCAAGCACAACAGAGCTCACGCGGGGCTCCCAGCTGATTGCGAGTTGACTTTTAGATTTAGGTGGAGTTGAATGTCAATATACAAAGTGAAGAGGCGGGGGTCAAAGAGATGACAGCAACAAAGCAGGCTTCTATCATAGAGGTATCAGTGGTTCTCCAAAATCAGTTGGATAACAACAGGTGTGCACGAAAATGCACAGGCTGGAAATCATTTGCATAAAGATGAAATCCGCGACTGCTTTCATGACAGCTGGCTGTACCAAAGCCCTGGGAGAGCATCGCCGGGAAAATTTTAGAGCATCTACTCATGTCTGTCGGGGGCCTCATTACCTGCAAAAAATAGTAACTGTCGTAAACCGACTCAAAATTAATCAGAGTTTTGTCGTTTTTAATGTAATATCCAATATTATCGATATATAAGATTCATACTAATTTACCCAGCAACTTCTGATTGGAAAATAGGCTGCAAAGAGCCATGTTAACACAGAACTTAAATTTGAACTTAGAGATACGTTTCTCAGGTTAATCACATCTATTTGCTTTTACCAGTATAAGTACTGGTAAAGCCATTAGAGTCACATTCCTAAAAATGTTCCACTTTTACTGGCTTATGAGCAACATTTGAGTATTAATCTGGTCATCCGTTCAATGGTAGGTGATGCTTTTAAACACAAACCTTGCCTGGACATTTGAGATAATATCTCCAACAAAAACAGCCTTGCATCCCGTGCCTGCACACAGATGGGTTGCAGACAGAATTGGTCCCTGAAGGAATCTTCCTTCTGCCTGTCAAATGAATATAAAAGACTCTCTGGGGATTCAGTTGTCTGACACAGCCCTCCACACTCTGAACCACAGCATGTATTTTCCTCTGTCAGGCAGCCTTGTTGTTGACTTGAAATACACCTAAAATTCCATAGCTTACATAACATCGATAGAGAATTGTCAGCTCTCCTCTTATTTTCAAAAATAATTACCCATCCATTCATTTTCTTAATCGCTTATCCAATCCAGCCTTGGATAAGCTCCTCGCAGGTTGGGAGGCATCACTGTGCTGCCCTCAGCAGCAAATCCATCTCCACATCTTATGTCATACAGCTAAGTGCATTGCTTGGACTTCTCTCAGTGGTTAATAATGCTATATCCAGGATTATTTTTTTGGCTTTGTTTCTGGTTAAAAAAAAAATCATTTAATCCCAGTTCCAACAGTGAGACAAAAGAACCTTGACTTGTGTTCTGGGGGAATTAATCTCAATTAGAAACCCTGCACGAGGTTTCATTAATCAGCTCCTCTGCGAGGCACCAGAGGCTTCTAAAAAAGTATGGCGCTATTATTCTTTTGACTCACTGAGGCACAGTGTTAGAGACTTGTGTAATTACATGAAATACTCCTACAGATATTGATTACTTTTTATCCCAGGTTCTCATCATGCATTTTGTGAAGCATGGTTACATCGATCAGATCTCCTGCTTATACGGCTGCGAGAAGATTAGCAGATGCAGCGCATCATGATACTTGTACAGATTTTTAATTTGCACAAAATAAGCCATTAGTGCTGAGAGAAATGACCGAAATCAATATCACAGCATTAATAAGCATTACGTGCAGTAGCAATTACAAGTTCTGACTTCGATTGATTCAATAATTTTGCAGTTGTTTCTCAGTTTCAGCCTTTTGTTTGTGAAGGTCTGATGCTTTTTTGTTTAAATTGTCTAATAAACTGTGTGTTTTTGTAAAAAGACAGGAGCTTGGTCAAAATAAGCAGTTTCAAAAGGTGTATTGGGTATTTATCAATACAGCCTCATCTTTGCCCTTTTATTTTCCTGAAGAACAAGAAAATAATCATGAGTGTAATCCCCAGATTAATAAATAAATAATTGCTAGTAGCTGTTCATATTCATCACAGTGTTAGAGTCATTACTCTAACAATGACTTTCTAAAAAAGTAATGTATTATACATTTCTCACTTCTTCAAAAACAAGTTATAAAACTTTTCTACTCTCTAGAAAGTAATTAGCTTGACTACTAGTTTATTACGTCTGTATCTGCCATATTTGTCTTAAATCCACAGAAATGTGTATATCTGGAAATGCTGTGTTTAACTCTATCATTTTCATCCTGCACAAACTGAGGTCAGGCAATTGTTGTGCAATTGTGCACGACAGAGCAGGACGGAAGCAAGGAAATGTTTGATAAGGAACTGTATTGTTATTTACACATAAAGCGCAACACAGCAGGCAACAGCATTTTCCTTACTTTGAATTTCATGTTTGTCGGAAGCAGCTGTTGCGTTTAACAATAACACTAATTTTGTTCACTGTTAATTACACTTTGCTTGAACTTTTACATTTTATGTAACATCAAATGCATTGTCCTGGTGTAATTTTTTGCATCGATTGCTAAATCGAGCGTGTCAATCTCCCTAAACTCAAATGCCCAGCTTTGCTGTGTTAACAGGCTAGTACAAAAACTACCTTCATATTATTGTCTTACAGCCTGATGCCCAGTAAAGTAACACTAATAATCAACTAAAGTTGCCTATTTTTTTCCTTAAATGAAAGGACAACCATGTGTGTACAATAAATGTTCATTCCAGCTTTGTGAAAACTCATATTTCTGCTAATTCATTGAGATTTTTTTGTAGCTTTAAGATTAGAGGAATTTTCTCCCCTGTTGAAGAATATTGATTCCTTTATTATTCCTGTAAATTTTCCATTAACATCTCTACCTTGAAATCGACACGTATGATTAAACCAATTTCCCCCTGCTTATTGCTGTTTTATAACCACAGGCTAAAACATGCACTGTACTGCTCTAAATTTATGTAAATCACAGGACACTCAGTTTTCCTTTATGTCTCTTATGTCCTGTCCTCCAGCTCTCCTTGCCAGAACGGAGGCACATGTATGGATGCCGAGGGCTCAGCAGCCTTTTCTTCCTGCTTATGTCCCCCTGGATTTTCCGGAGACTTCTGTGAGATCGGCATTGACAGCTGCCAGCCTAACCCTTGCCTCAACGGTGGCAACTGTACAAACCATGGCCTGACTTTCACATGTGTCTGTCCACACGGCTTCACTGGTTTCACTTGTAATGACACCACCAGCCTCTCTCCCTGCGCCGGGCGGCCCTGTGCCAACGAGGGCACCTGTGTCGGTCAACCTGATGGAACCTTCCGGTGCATTTGCCAGAAATGGTTTACAGGTCCCACATGCTCCCTGCAGCACAGACCAAGAAACAGATCCAAGCCGATTGCTGCCAAGCCTGTGGACAGAGTGTTTGCTCTGACTCCACAGCACTACTCCCTCCCTGCTCATGCCTTCCACAAATTGCTGAGACCACCTGAGAGAGATCTGCTCAAGATCACCCTGAAGGAGACGGTTCACTCGTCCGGTGTCCTTGTTACGCATGGTCAGCTTGTCTGCTTCAGCTTGCTAGCACTGCTCACCTGCCTGGTCATCTTGGGCACTACAGGCATTGTGTTTTTTGGCCGCTGTGAGACGTGGCTGGCGAATGCCAAGTACAGCCAGCTTGTCCGGCAGCAAAAGGAGCACCTGCTGAGAGAAGCTGGCAGCACAAGCCAGGAAGAGGCGGAACACTCGGTAAACATCATCCTGCCAGAGAAGATTAGACTCACCAGCTTTGGGAGGCACTACACCTCCATCTGATAAAATCATCTCGTCCTCACCCACACTCCCCCTGGAAGAAGTCAAATGTGAATGTGTAAAAATAGCAGCGATTAAAAAGCTATGACTGTCGTGCAGTTGTGTTTAAAGTGTGTATAACCGAGAGCTGGTGGGCTATCCCGGTACATGTTTGAATGTAACGTCTGCTGGACCAAATGGATATACATGACGCTGGTTTGTAAATGTATTTTTAATCCAAAATTACCATTAAAATGTATAATTATGTGAAACATGTTCTCTCACATAGCATGTTGTTAAAAATATGTCATTGCGTGGCCTCTTTCTATTTACTTATTTCTCATGAGTTGATCTAATTAGGAAGTGGGGTTAATTAAGAAAATGAAAAATATATTTGAATTCATAATAGTCAGTACAAAGTGACTGAGCTGCTGACTTTTAGTTTGTACTTTCATGAGCACCATCAGAGCTGCAATCTCTCATTTCAAAGATAAGCAAATAAGACGTCATCGTTTATTGTAGCCCAAACCTTCATACAGCATGTTGTGAATTTCCAGATTCTTTATAAATGCAAAAATACATATTGTGAGTGTTTTCAGTGCAAATAACACGTGGCTATAGATCGTGTTACATGCCACCCAAACAGCTGTGCAAATCCTGCAGGGATGAACTCTACAGAAAATGTTGTTTTTAATGTAATAAATGTATTTCAGATGTCTAAAAAGGTAGTTTACTTTTTCATATAACACACAGCTGCTACCCACTGCATCATATCAGACATTGATTTGAAAGGTAAGTATAGATGTTGAGTCTGATATAATGACATTATTTGTTTGGCTAACTCGTTTTCACCTATTTATATCAATGATTAATCCCTGGTCGTTCTAAAACTCGTGATCCATGAGCTTTTATAAGATTTTCCACTAGTGTGTATTACTGTCGGTGTTATTATGCATCAGTGAGCCCTGAAATTGATACTGCAACACCTGTTTAAGTGTTATTAGTTTGCTTCACGCATGAGATGGCCACCCCCTCTGAATGGAGGAAACGTGATTGCCATGAAAACCTAATATATGTCAAAATATGGAAAATACACGTCTGTTACACAGGAAATATGCAGACTGATGTGAATAGTGTTGTGTGTAAAGCATCAAATCCATTTACTCCTGATATGATTGCTGGGATTTCAAGGTTAAAGATTCTGTCGCTTTCTCAGTAAGTCCCCTTCAGCCTCCTTATTGTTTATCATAACTCTCTAATTGGCTGGTTATCTACATTTCATTTTCTGACATGCAGAAGTAAAACATAATGATGTACAAGTGGTTTATCTAGCAGGAGGTTGCAATTACAGTCATTTAGGATATATTATTCTGAGATAATTCACTGTTGTACTTTGAAAACGTTTGGTTGTCTATCGCTTTTAATAAAATATGCCAGAATGTGTCCGCCTAACTAAAATGCTTGCAGTGTCACATGCTTGTACACAAAGGTGCCTTTAGTCTTGTATTTGACTTGATTTCCACCTTAGTTGGTCATTGGTCCTGATTTTATTGATTTAGCTGCTGTTTTCTTCACACAACAGACAGTAGGAGACAAGATCAGATCCTCCCCAAGCCTCATACAGTGCATCAGCTGTTTAACAGTGCAAAGTCCAACTGATACACATGCTGCGAGTGCACCACCACCACCACCACCTGTTCTAAAATTATGCAAACATCTGCTCTCCTGCTCTGATCTCCTTCATAAATTTTTCCCCAAGGCCGTCTCGATGGTTCTCAGCAGAGTGATAATAAAGGCTCTGTCCACACGCCTCCACTGGCTGTAAAGGTTTCAGATAACAGTCTGTGTCTCCATCTTCTGGTACAGTTATACATTACTCCTCTACGGCACCATTCCAGACAGCCATGTCAAATCTGGCAGGTCAACCCCTCGTAAAAGCCTAAAATGTTCTACAAATTGTAATAAAGATGTTTTTATAAGTTCTTTTTTATGATACATTGTTTCTCTGTTAGATCTTTGGATTCGATCATGTGTTTGCTATTTTTTATACTATCAACCATGGTTGGAAAAGATAGCAAGTGCAGTGTATGTTGGAGACTGTAGCGAAGGACAGTAAACAGGACAAAGACAGTTTCGAATTGTTTCAGTCAAATTGTGTGTTTATGTGCCCGGCTAGGTTAAGGTGAAATTACAGTTACTTCAAACTGTGTGTTAATGAGAATGATAAAACATTATTATTCTCAATAGTTAGTAGTAGAGTAGTAGATCCTGCCTCTCTTGTTTCATGTCGAGTTCATTTTGACTTAATTTTGATATAATAGTGTAACTCTCAATTTGCATTTATTACCGTTTTAAAGAATAGAAGCAGAACAGATAGCAGGAAAGTGCCAGGCTGAAGTGATTGTAGTGACTAGAAGCTTGTTCCAAGTTACAACCTCTCAAACTTGCTGTTTGATCCACCATGTGTACATTTCAGACTGTAAACTATAAACAGCGTATAAAATTATAAACAGCGTATAAAACTATAAACAGCGTATAACCGGATGAAGTTTTCCTAATCTAATGTCTGCAATTCAATCCAGTTTTATTCATATAACATACATTTACAACAAAACTCATCAAGGAGATTTATATGATAAAATAAAGACCCTATAATATTAGAATACTCAAGAATCAGACTACTCCCTAGAGCAAGCACTTTGTGACAGTGGGAAGGAAAAGCTGATTTTTAACAGCAAGAAACCTCCAGCAGAACCAGGCTGAGGGAGGAGCGGCCATCTGCAGCTACTGACTGGGGGTGGGGGGCAGATTGAACAATAGTGATGTATAAACATATAAACAGTGAAAGAAGAAAGGCTTAACATGATGGGAAGCCACAGAAACCTAAGCTTACTGCAGCATAACTAAGTATAACATGCTAACAATGAGGTCATTAAGATATGACGAGGCCCGACTACTCATGATTTTGTAGGCGAGGAGAAATTGTGAATTTGACAGGTGCAACAAAACCAAGAGCAGAGAGTGTGCAGATGTTTATGGAGCACTTCTACATTCCTAAATTGTCCCCAGGAAAGGCCCAAAGAGGTGTGTAAGTGAAAACACTTGTATAAGTGGAGAATAATTGTGCACAGGCTTTAACGTCTAAATATTTAAAACAGATTCCTCTAACTGCCATCGTGTGCCAGAGACATGGCAAATTTCCTTTGAACATTAAAAGCTCATCACATAGAACTTTATTATAACATCTAAAGAATCCAGCACTAAACATTCAATTAAAGCGTTATTCATTGCAATATCAGAATGATAAACACATCGTCAGTTCTTCAAGTAGGACTGACATTTCTTTAACAATATAGTCGGAGGCTTTCTGTTTTCCATTAAGGCTCTCCAACATCAAAATAAGAGTTCAGCTGTGTTCCACTCACTGTGCTTCAGTCTGATGCAGCTCTAAAAAAAGCTATGCAGTCACCAAGTATGGCCACAGGGTGTCATCCATCTAAAGAAAGAGGAACGGCTGTAGCCACAAGCTGGACACCGAGTGCAGCATTTCAATGCACTGAGAACGCTGCATTTTGCTTTCATCAGTTAATTATAAGATATACACAGTTTTTATACATCTGGAAGCAAGACAGCTGCCACTATATCATTTAAATCTATACAAAACCATTATTTTTTTTAAATGTTTTGCTTGATTAGTATTTTAATATTTCCTATATATAATATATATTTGTAATGTATGGAAATTGCATACTTGGTAAGATTGTAAAAATATGTAGGTTATGTTTTCCAGCTTCCAATCTGCTGCTCTTCTTCTGCACAATAATGCAAGCCATCACAAGACTCGGGGATGAGTGCTGCCTGTCCCACATAACAGATAATTTTCCACTTTGTTGCCAGGCCATTTCAGTTCACGATTGGGGTGACAATCAGTGTTTTTTCCAAGTTACACCCAGCCATTTTTCACTGCTGACTGAGCTTCATTGGAAAATGTTTCAGGGACTCCTGCTGTGTTCCTGCATATCCCTCATCTGACACACACAAACACACACACACACACTAAACCTATCCTTAAACAGAAAATTGAAATATCTTTTAGCATCTGTACTGCAAAAATAAAACACGAAACGAGTTCATGTTAATAATGCAACACTTCTTATTTCCAAATAGTGCCTCTATTTGTGTGTTTCACTTCAGAACTTGGATTTCTTTTTGACCATTATAAACTAGATGGTTTAAAAGATGGTTAAGTAGTAACACGCTAGTTTCCCTGAAACCTTTTTGTGTGTGCTGAGGCCCCCCTTGCTCCCCACCACCAGACATTCATTTGTGGAGTTATGACCCTGGGGAGAGAGGGGCCCTCACCTTCAAAGCTGACCAGGGAAGCAGAAAAAAACCACCTCAGCAGACCCAGTCTGCTCCCTTCAAGTCATAAAACAAAACAGAGCAGCAAAAGTTAAATCTCACCACTCAGCCTGAGACCCTTAACCCTTTGTTCCCGTCTGCCTCTCCGCAGAGAGATGAGACTCAGCATATGGAAAATCACACATGGAAAGAATCCAAATCTAAAGCATTCCAGTTGGGGTCTCTTTTCAGGGGTGCACATTGGATACACTGAAAGTTATATTTCACTCAGGCAGGTACCCCTCTGTCAGCTGTCAGCTCCGCATAAATACTGTGTGTTTGTGTGTTAAATGTGTTCCAGATGAGCTGTAAAGTCAGGTCACTGGTAAGCCTCTGTAGTCAGACCAGCAACATGTTCTTTAACGGTGCTGGACTTAATTCTCCTCTCTGTTACTCTGGCGCCAAATGTTTTGGGCTTGTGAGTTCCTAAAACAAAAAGATGTCTGCTATAAACTATTGTCAGGTCAACCAAGGTGGGTTCCGTTTTATCTGTGCAATATTTATGCTCTTGTGATGTTCAACAACATTTTTTTTTTAGTACATTTCTTTATTATGGGAGACTAATGTGGGGTGAGCGCGTCAATTGGCTGCAGAAGCTGAGTGTCTAATCCTGGGACCACAGACACTGAAAAAGGCCTGGTGGCCAGATACTTTAAACTGCAAGGGCATTATCTGTTTAATGCCATGTGTTGGATATAAGAGAAATCAGAGCGATGTAGTTTTCCTGAACCATAACAAAAGCCTCCTTTCATTTTCATCAACTCCACCCACTTATCTCACAGACCAAGTGATATTTAGAGCAAACTCTGATTCATTTCAAAGCCATGATTCGTAAGAACCGTTTTCTGACAAAGGAAAAAAAAAAACCCACTTTGACAACAAAGAGCATCCTTGTGTCGTCAAT